AGTGTTCGCCAGTCTGTGAGTCACCCACCAGCAGTTATGGGATTTGATTTTTTTGCAATTGCGCTCCTCCTGCCATCTCATTGTGGCTTCTCCTTTGTCTTTGGATGTGGGGTATCTTTTTTGGTGAGTTGCAGTGTCTTCCTGTTGATGATTGTCCAGCAGCTAGTTGTGATTCTGGTGTTCTCGCAAGAGGGAGTGAGAGCACATCCTTCTACTCTGCCATATTCGTTCAGGGGCCCTGTGATCCCTATTCTTGTGTACTAAAACAAATGTTTCTTACATGTGTACTTGGCACAGTTGTTTCATTAACTGAGCAGAAAGAAGACTGAATAGAGTATGTGGGAGGAAGAGAATGAGCATTCGGGGAATAGAACAGTTCCGATAGTGGGTCAGTGTATTTAATCCTACTTTTCCCAAATTAGCACTGGGTGAATTTCTAGGTTAGGCATTCTGCATATACACATGGATCTGCTTTTACTGATTTGTTGTCTACTCTCTCCACTATTTTCTCAGCCTCACAGCTCTACCACTTTATGACTTCTGGTTGTTGTCTTTCCTCTCCGTGGGTGCCTAGGCTGCAGGACTGTAGCTCCCTGCCTTCAGTGTGTCTCCCCTTCAAAGTCTCTAGGAGGAGAGAGGCTCCAATTAGTTCATTAATCAGTAGTTAATACTTAACACCCCAGGTGACATGAATTCTCCTTTAAGGCCATATTACGTGCCTGGGGCTCCCCTCATGTCTAGCCTGTGAACTGTGCCTTTGGGCTTCCTGCCAGACCCTGGTTTGGTCAGTCGTCATTATTTTTCTTCCATTATAAAAGATCATTTGGAAAATATAGAATAATATAAAGGCAAAATAAAAATAATGTCTAAGATTTTTGTACCTTTTCAGTCATGTTTGTATTTATATTGTATACAGAAGAAACCTTAGAAGTCACACAGTACCACATCCAGCAATTCCCCTAAGCTCCCTGATCATAGACTATGTGGCTCTGATCATCGAGCTCCATGATCATAGATCACATGGCCACAGAATACTGTGTTTAGGAAACTTTGTCAGGAAAATAACACCTACCTAAACAGTGTTTACTAGATTAGTTACATTTTAAGGAAAATATTACTGTAGAAGATATCATCAACAACTACCTGTCATTTTAAGCTGGTTATCTCTTTTTTTGTTAATGATTTAGAAGTTAGAAGTTACATCTGTAATATCAAGGTTTGCAAAAGCAAATTGAATGAGTGATAGGTGAGATCAAGACACTCAAAATACATTTTTAGGAAAGAACACTTTTCCAGTTTGAGGGCTACTGGTTTCATTTGTGTGTGTGTTGAATCTACTATGAGCAAATAATGTGTATTATATTTCCAATCAAATACAGTTCTGTCAGGTATTCAAATTTTGCTCCTGCCTGGGTCCTAGAAATATGATAAATGTGAAGAATTTTGATTATCATTTTGCTTCCTCCATTCCTTGGATATGAAAGCACTTGACTCTGGACTATGGCCCTTCACCTAAGGCCTAACATTTTCTTCCTTTATTTTTGCTGTTTTCCTCTTCTTACTTTCCTTTCCTGTTTTTACCTGTATTTTTTTTTTTCTGCCCCTGTTGCTTGTCTTTTAGCTTTGATGGAGTGGGAAAGAAGTGAAGGCAGTATGCATGAAGTAGAACTGAAAGAATAGCAAGGAATAATGATTTTATATATGTTTTATTTACCTGTTTTTAAAAGCACTTGCCTAACTGGAGCTTACCATTAGCTTGGTAGATCAGAATTGACTAAATGGTTCTGTATTTTTTAAAGGCTCAGAAATACTATTGTTTACATTCATGTTTCTTTATACTTTATTTTCTCCATCATTTCCAGATCAATAAGAACCATTAAAAAACTCCACAATAACGTCTTTTCAATTTCTATTCATTCTTTCATCATTTTCAGATCAATCATAACCATTTAAAAACTCCGCAATAACCAACAGCTGTGGGTAATGAACATTTATTATATCAAAACAGTTTAAAGAATCTTATTTAGATCTTCCTTTGTATTTTCTCCTGGCTGCAATCATAGTACTTCTAATATACATTGGTTAAAAACCTTTTGGCGCCATCAAGTGGAATTAGGTGGAGAGTGCCTCTGAACATGTTAACTTTTAGTTGACTGGAATAATTGCAGGCAATGATTCGTAGTGGCAAATTGCAGAAATTTTCAATCATAGAAAACATTTTTAGGGAAAAACATGGAAATTGAGTGGAGTATAAATATAATGCTAATATTTTAAGTATCCTTGAATTAATGTCAACAAATCATTGGGCCAGATGGTGGAGATAGAAGAAAAATAAGGTTGTCCTGGTCTAGTGGGGACTCAGATATGTGTTTATGCTAGTATTTACAAGTATAAGTAGGGAATAAGGAGCCAGCACAAGCAGAGTGACTAATTTCTCTGTGTACATGTGTAAATTTGAGAGTTAAAAAAATGTCTTTGCAGAAGAGGGAACACCTGAGGAGTATTTAAGGTGGTAGAAAGTGGGGTAGGGGCTGGGGCTGGGAGAAGTTACTGGTCGGAGGAAACAGCACTAATTTAGGAGCACAGAATCTATTATGGAAACTTTTATGTGTGCATGAAATGATTGTGCTTATCTTGATAATAAAACTGTGATTTGGTTGGTTAATAAATAGTATTTATTAATTTAATTTGCTTTCTAATAATTTTCCTTTTTGCACGCATTTACAAGCTGCTGAGCTTTAAGACTCTAACACTTGTGGGTTTTGTTTGTTTTACAGTTGGCTTAGGAAATGAGAACCAAAAGAAGCCATCCACGTTATAGAATAGAACTTGGGCTGGATGGAACCCTAATTTTCAGCGTTTCTTCTGTCAGCCATTTGTGGTTTTTCTTTTATTTTTTTCTTTACCTTTCTCATAAAATTTAAAGAAAAAATCCAAAATGTTAATTGAATTAAGTTTTTCTACCTTTCCACGTATTAGTTTATTTGATGTGTAGGTACATTTCTTGATAGACCAATTTCTCTTGCATGAGAGTAGAGTGAAGAATCTGAAATAGAAAAGAGAGAGGGTCTGAGATTATGTTGTACCAAGACTGTCTACCATCCTGGAGGAGGGATATGCTTGGCAGAATTCCAGACTGCAGTTTTAGAATGAAGCACTGAGGAATTCTATAAAGATAGATAACATTTCAGTAAAACACTTAATCATCAGTTCAAAAATGTTTTTTTTTTTTAATAATCCTGTTACATGTAGTAGCAGAACTATCTTTGTTTTTCAAATTCCAGAGATTTGAATCAGTATTGAATGGTTGAAACTTTTTTCATATAAAAACATTACTTTACGCTTTCTCTGCACTTGTAAGAGGAAATACTTGGAGCTTTAAAGTAGTAGATTAATAAACTTCCTTTTTCAAATTTACCTGGAATAAATGGATGTTCTTGCAATTACCAAGCTATTCTCTTCCCCTTGAGACCACATCACACAGACAAGAATATGTTCATCACCTTCTATATCAGAAATCAGCAAAGGCATAATATAGTAAGGCATTTCTCTATTGAAAAAAATACAGTTTGCCATAATTCTATACAAGGAATACCAGGTAACTATCAAAATGATGACATGAAAGATTTTCACAATACATTATTAAGAGAAAACCTTGGATTATAAAGTAGTATATTTAGTATAGAGATATATTGGAAGGCAAATGAATATTATAAAATGTATACATAGCAAATATCTGGAGCACCATTTATCAAATGGTTAACAAGACACAAGGTAGTGGAATTGCAGGTGATCTTTCTGTTGTTTGTTTGGCTTCTGTTTCTAATTTTTCTGCAGTGATCTTGTGCCACATTTATATTTAGAGGCATTTGTATTCCTGGATGATTTCTTAAGTGTAATGTGGCATTTCCTTCAGCTGCCAGTTGTAAAATGCGTGTTGTCAGTTATCTTGTCTTTTGTGGTGATGGTTTTGTATAAGATGACCCTCCTCTATGAGGAGTAGCATGCATGTTTTTTGAGATAGCCTGTGGAGTTAGTTGGTGGTCATGAAGCAAAGCTGTAGTTTTGAACTCAGCAGTGTTCTCACCAACTGAATTAATTGAGTAATTTTCTTAAACATCTGCTATCCCAATTACATTTTCATAACAACAACAACAACAACAATAAAACCCAAAACAACAAAGACAAAAACAAACACTCCAGCTCTTGAAGTGGTAATATATTATATACTAGATTTCAGGGTATATGTAGTTACTTCTTATTTTTCTTCTTAGTGAAATCCTAGAAATGATGTGGGAAAGAACAACCACAAATGGCTCAGTTATTCCCATGACTCCTTAAACAGTTAGAAAAGCTCATAGAGGTTAGTTTGCAGCTACCTTTAATGGTATCCTCTGAGTAATTTCAATGAAATGAAATGAAAATTGATGAATTATTGTCTGACCCAGGAAGAAAGAAATACAATTTATTTTTCAGGCAACAATAGACATATTCATCCAGAAGATCTGAAAGCAGTGAAAAGAGGGCACTGATAATTTCAATATGGGAAATACATACATGAATATAATTACTACTATATTGGTAATATCCCTATTATTTTTTGTTCCATTTTTATTATTGTTATTGTTATTACTGGTCCTCCAACCTTTTTGTCTGGATGAGTCACTTTAACTTCCTAAAGTTAAGACCTAGAGTTCATGGAGTAATAGATTGGAGAGAGTGGAGAGGAGGGAGAGGGCAGATATGCTGACTGAACATCTGAAGCTAAGGCAGCAGGGGGAAGGGGCAGTGATGACAGTCAATTCCTTGCAACTCCTTGACTTAAGGTGTTGGGGAAGGGAGGAGTGGCAATGGTGACTGGGCCATCTACCATATAGTGCTTTGAGATTTATTGTAGAGTCCTACTGGTTGGGGATCCCACATTAAATTAACAAATTTGTACTGCATATTGATTGACCTACCAACATTTGTTTACTTATTGTTTTCTTTGTAAATTTCAGATCAATCGAGCTCCAAGCTTTGGAACTGATCAGAAAATAGACTATGATGTAAAAAGGGGAGTGCTGCTAAATGCACTGAAGCTACTAAATATCAGGTAAAGTGTTTCCTCCATCTTCTGGAATTTTTTTCACCATATTTGGCATAGAACAATCATTTGTAAGTGGAATTGTCTTGTAATTTTAGTATTTTGTATTGTGAATTTCTTGATTCCATTCTTCAAACCCATTTAGCTTTCTTCTTTTTAAATATCTTTTCCTCTTCTCCTGAACTCAGCTTCTCCTTCTCCCCATATTATTTGAACCTACAGTAAATATGCTTAAATTGCATTGTTGGTATAATACAGACTATGGGGTGGAATTGGAGAATACCTTAGGAAACCTTCTGGACTGTTTTCCTCACCTCACAAGAAAAAACTAAAGCACAAAGGTCACTCAGGGAGTTAAAAAACCTCAAAAATGCATTTCCAACCTTTCTGTCCAAAGGTCTTTCCACTGTATCATGCTGCCTGGGTAAACAGAGAAGAAAAGAGAAGCAGTTAAGTGAGAGTTAACCTTCCCATTGAACAGCATTAACAGGATTTCCTTCGTTTTTAAGGCTGAATAATATTCCATCTTATATATACCACATTTTTTATCCATCCATTGCAGAACATTTAGGTTGTTTCCATGTCTTAGATGTTGTGCATAATGCTGCAGTGAACATGGGAATGTGGGTATCTTTAGATCATATACCCACAGGGTATCTGTTGAATCCTGGTTCAACAGGATCAGTCAAATCCTGATTTCAACTTCTTTAAATATATACCCAGAACTGGGATTGCTGCATCAATAGAATATTATTAGTTTGGTTGAAGCATACATAATCATGAATGTCAAATGTTTGAAATCTTATTATGTGGTAAACTTTGGCTCATTATGAAAAAAATTGTTAGAAGTTTAACTGAACTGCCTAATGAGGTAGTGAGTTGTCTGCTATTATAAGTGTTCAAATAGCATTTAGGATCACATCTTGGGTCACAAATCAAGCCTCAGTAAATTTAAGAAAATTGAAATCATATCAAGCATCTTTTCTGACCACAACATATGATATTAGAAATGAATTACAGGGGAAAAACAGTAAAAAACACAAACATATGGAGGCTAAACAATACATTACTAAATAACCAAGAGATCACGTAAGAAGTCAAATAGGAAATCAAAAAATACCTAGAGACAAATGACAATGAAAACACGATGATCCAAAACCTATGGGATGCAGCAAAAGCAGTTCTAAGAGTGAAATTTATAGCTATACAAACCTACCTTAAGAAATAAGAAAAATCTCAAGTAAACAATGTAACCTTACACCTAAAGGAACTAGAGAAAGAAGAACAAACAAAACCCAAAATTAGCAGAGGGAAAGAAATCGTAAAGACCGGAGCAGAAATAAATGAAATAGGAACAAAGAAAACAATAGCAAAGATCAATAAAACTAAAATCTGGTTCTTTGAGAAGATAAACAAAACTGATAAACTATTAGCCAGACTCATGAAGAAAAAGAAGGAGAGGACTCAAATCAATAAAATTAGAAATGGAAAGGAGAAGTTACAACAGACACCGCAGAAATAAAAGCATCCTAAGAGACTACTACAAGCAACTCTGTGCCAATAAAATGGACAACGTGGAAGAAATGGACAAATTCTTAGAAAGATATAACCTTCCAAGGCTGAACCAGGAAGAAACAGAAAATATGAACAGACCAATCACAAGTAATGAAATTGAAACTGTGATTAAAAATCTTCCAACAAACAAAAGTCCAGGACCAGATGGCTTCACAGGTGAATTCTACCAAACATTTAGAGAAGAGCTAAAACCCATCCTTCTCAAACTCTTCCAAAAAACTGGGGAGGAAGGAACACTCCCGAACTCATTTTCTGAGGCCACCATCACCCTGGTACCAAAACCAAAGATACTACAAAAAAAGAAAATTACAGACCAATATCACTGATGAATTTAGATGCAAAAATCCTCAACAAAATACTAGCAAACAGGGGCTTCCCTGGTGGCGCAGTGGTTGAGTCCACCTGCCAATGCAGGGGATGCAGGTTTGTGCCCCGGTCTGGGAGGATCCCACATGCCGTGGAGCAGCTGGACCCTTGAGCCACGGCTGCTGAGCCTGCGCGTCCAGAGCCTGTGCTCCGCAATGGGAGAGGCCACAACAGTGAGAGGCCTGCATACCGCAAAAAAAAAAAAAAAAAAATACTAGCAAACGGAATCCAACAACACATTAAAAGGATCATACAACATGATCAAGTGAGATTTATCCCAGGGACGTGAGGATTCTTCAATATATGCAAATCAATCAATGTGATACACCATATTAACAAATTGAAGAATAAAAACCATATGATCATCTCAATAGATGCAGAAAAAGCTTTTGACAAAATTCAACACCATTTATGATAAAAATTCTCCAGAAAGTGGGCATACAGGGAACCTACCTCAACATATAAAGGCCATATACGACAAACCCACAGCAAACATCATTCTCAGTGGTGAAACACTGAAAGCATTTCTTCTAAGATCAGGAACAAGACAAGGATGTCTACTCTCACCACTATTATTCAACATAGTTTTGGAAGTCCTAGCCACGGCAATCAGAGAAGAAAAAGAAATAAAAGGAATCCAAATTGGAAAAGAAGAAGTAAAACTGTCACTGTTTGCAGATGACATGATACTATACATAGAGAATCCTAAAGATGCCACCAGAAAGCTACTAGAGCTAATCAGTGAATTTGGTAAAGTTGCAGGATACAAAACTAATGTACAGAAATCTCTTGTATTCCTATACACTAATGATGAAAAATCTGAAAGAGAAATTATGGAAAGACTCCCATTTACCATTGCAACAAAAAGAATAAAATACCTAGGAATAAACCTACCTAGGGAGACAAAAGACCTGTATGCAGAACACTGTAAGACACTGATGAAAGAAATTAAAGATGATACCAACAGATGGAGAGATATAACATGTTCTTGGATTGGAAGAATCAAAATTGTGAAAATGACTATACTACCCAAAGCAATCTACAGATTCAATGCAATCCCTTCAAATTACCAATGGCATTTTTTACGGAACTAGAACAAAGCATCTTAAAATTTGTATGGAGAAACAAAAGACCCCAAATAGCCAAAGCAGTATTGAAGGAAAAAAACAGAGCAGGAGGAATCAGACTCCCTGACTTCAGACTATACTACAAAGCTATAGTAATCAAGACAATATGGTACTGGCACAAAAACAGAAACATAGATCAATGGAACCAGATAGAAAGCCCAGAGGTAAACCCACACACCTGTGGTCAACTAATCTATGTCAAAGGAGGCAAAGATATACAATGGAGAAAAGACAGTCTCTTCAATAAGTGGTGCTGGGAAAACTGGGCAGCTACATGTAAAAGACTGTAATTAGAACACTCCCTAACACCATACACAAAAATAAACTCAAAATGGATTAGAGACCTAAATGTAAGGCCGGACACTATAAAACCCTTAGAGGAAAACTTTGGAAGAACACTCTTTGACATAAATCACAGCAAGATCTGTTTTGATCCACCTCCTAGAGTAATGGAAGTAAAAACAAAAATAAACAAATGGGACCTAATGAAACTTAAAAGCTTTTGCACAGCAAAGGAAACCATAAACAAGATGAAAAGACAACCCTCAGAATGGGAGAAAATATTTGCAAATGAAGCAACAGACAAAGGATTAATCTCCAAAACATATAAACAGCTCATGCAGCTTAATATTAAAGAAACAAACAACCCAATCCAAAAATGGGCAGAAGACCTAAATAGACATTTCTGCCAAGAAGACATACAGATGGCCAAGAAGCACATGAAAAGCTGGTCGACATCACTAATAATTAGAGAAATGCAAATCAAAACTACGATGAGGTATCACCTCACACCAGTTAGAATGGGCATCATCAGAAAATCTACAAACAACAAATGCTGGAGAGGGTGTGGAGAAAAGGGAACCCTCTTGCACTGTTGGTGGGAATGTAAATTGATACAGCCACTATGGAGAACAGTATGGAGGTTTCTTAAAAACCTAAAAATAGGGCTTCCCTGGTGGCGCAGTGGTTGAGAGTCCGCCTGCCGATGCAGGGGACACGGGTTCATGCCCCGGTCTGGGAAGATCCCACATGCCGCGGAGCGGCTGCGCCCGTGGACCATGGCCGCTGAGCCTGTGCATCTGGAGCCTGGGCTCCGCAACGGGAAAGGCCACAACAGTGAGAGGCCCGCGTACCACAAAAAAAAAAAAAAAAACCTAAAAATAGAATTACCATATGATCCAGCAATCCCACTACTGGGCATATACCCAGAGAAAACCATGATTCAAAAAGACACATGCACCCCAGTGTTTATTGCAGCACTATTTACAATAGCCAGGTCATGGAAGCAACCTAAATGCCCATTGACAGACGATTGGATAAAGAAGATGTGGTACATATATACAATGGAATATTACTCAGCCATAAAAGGAATGAAATTTAGTCTTTTCTTGAGACGTGGATGCATCTAAAGACTGTCATACAGAGTGAAGTACGTCAGAAAGAGAAGAACAAATATCGTATATTAACGCATGTATGTGGAACCTAGAAAAATGGTACAGATGAACCGGTTTGTAGGGCAGAAGTTGAGACACAGATGTAGAGAACAAATGTATGGACACCAAGGGGGGAAAACCGCGGTGGGGTGGGGATGGTGGTGTGCTGAATTGGGCAATTGGGATTGATATGTATACACTGATGTGTATAAAATTGATGAGTAATAATAACCTGCAGTATAAAAAACAAACCAAACGAAAAGAAACAACTAATACTAAACTTTCTTTGGGTTATTTGTATGGAAATATGTTAATATAAATGTTTCATACATTACATGAAATTTCTAAAAATCTTATACGTTCTAGTATAATGTTATAAGTCATAATTCTAGTTATTACTTTAAACTGTATATCTCAGAAATAACTAAATTTCCTTGTCAATTGCATTATTATGAACTTTCATCAAATCTTTAACCGTGGTCATTTTTAAGTCTTTTGTCATTTACAG